TACATGTTCTAGACACTGGGATCTGGGATTTTGGTCACCCACCCATCCAAGCTGATCTTAATAAATATATTACTGAATTTTTAAAAATCAAATAATGAAGATATTAAATCTGAATTCTAAGTTTGTTTTTTATTTTCAAAATAATCTTTTAATTTTTAAAAATTCCTAATGTTGTAGAAATAACCGGAAATACATTGGTATCCACTCTTACATTTATATGAAAAACAAAATTTAAAACTCAAGTTGAAATAAACCCAAAATGTGAAACAGTGAGCATCTTACACAATGAAATGTACATCTCAGCATTAACAACTAAGTAGCTAAATAGATGCTTTAATTTTTTAAAACCTACAAAAGTAGGATCAGAAAATGTATAAATTATTTAAAATCTAGAATTGCTATTTGCTTAAAAGATAAAGGTAATAATGACATTCACCACTGAAGAGCTTGACTCAGTGTCAGCGAATCTGGTGCTGCCATCTGACCATCGATAAGAGATCCGTCCCACTAGCAAGTACCACCAGTCTCAGGGATACCAGGAGTCTGCTATTGCCGTAGAGCTACTGATGTAGGTTTATATTTTGTCAGTAAGCCTAGCTTTTGAATGGCGTTTGTGGATCTAGTTAGAATGGTAATTCTCAGGGGACAATTCCTTTCTAATATATTGATACTCGCAATGGTCTTTATGTGCATCTTCTTTACTTATTCTGCTTTCATTCCAAAGATAACTCTAACCTGGCCTTGCTTACATAAGAAGCCAGATGTCATCCATGTTGAGTAGGGCTGTGATGAGTTGGATTTCAATTACTGACCAAATGTTCAGTAAGTGGTGGAAGTTGAAAACTGCAGCACAGCTGACTGAGGAGAAAGGGGGAGTCAGTGGAAAAGCCAGATGGAATAATGAAGATGCTGGAGAGGGATTACTTAGGTAAAGTAGTTTGGGCATTATTCGAGTTTCCACGTCCTATGTTTGTGCATGTATAAAACTTATACATCTTATGACTATGCAGTCATCCAAGATGACATCAAAACTCTTGGGCTCAGCTATTGTGAGACATAAGGGATGAAATCACTGAGAATAATGCCCTCTGATAATGCCACATATATTCCTCAGCAATTCTTATTCAGTATATATAGTGTATATAAGTACTAGTGATTCCATTTGCTGAAGTGAAGAGAAAATGACTCAAAGTGAATAAAATGAATCATACAACAGGGAGAATTTTGTCTGCTTCTAAGAGTAACTAAGACAAAACAGAATGAAACTGTAATTGCATCTTTACTGTGTCTTGTCTGTGAGATCTAAGAGATCTAAGTGGTAGACTTAAAAATTACTATTAATGAAGCGCCTCAGATCTGATTATCACCAAGACTTTCTTCACTCTACAATTTGTTTTGTTATTTGAGTTGGAGTCTTGCTCTGTCGCCAGGCTGGAGGGCAGTGGTGCGATCTCGGCTCACTGCAACCTCTGCCTCCTGGGTTCAAGGGGTTCTCCTGCCTCAACGCCCGAGCAGCTGGGATTACAGGCGTGTGCCACCACGCCTGGCTAATTTTTGTATTTTTAGTAGAAATGGGATTTCGCCATGTTGGCCAGGCTGATCTCAAATTCCTGACCTCAAGTGATCTGCCCACCTCAGCCTCCCAAAGTTCTGGGAGTACACGAGTGAGCCAGGCCTATAAATATTTCTTTTAGCCTCCCAATGCCCTGTTACACTGTTGCCATGCTGTGGAGGGGATGGGGGGCCCTCCAGGGTGCTTAATGGAATTCTGTCATTGTTCAGTAATACTTAGCTTCTGGGCCAAACTCAAATTCACTATCCCCACCAGCCCTCAGTCAGTGTTCCTTTTTCCTAAAGCATCCGAACAACCAAAATGACTGCATTTCTTCTGAAATGTTCTCCAAATGTCCTGAGAATTGCAGCTGCTACATTTGTATCCCATAGAGCAACACAATTCTGCAACTGCAAAATCTCATTAGAGGACTAGCAAATTCTGCCCTCAGATAGGCTGATAGAGGACCTGTGAACCTCTGAGAGCAATGGATGGGAGCAGAAGGCTGGAGACCCTCAGAATACAGACAGGACTGGCTGCAGACCACCAAGAATTCTGCCTGGAGTTTAATTGGAATATAATGTTCTGACACTAACTGCAGCAGATAGAGGAGGAATTTGAGGGACTGATGAAATGTTCAGGAGGAGAGTAGAGAAGGGATGGTGAGGTGCCTCAGCTTCAGTCACTTAGAACAAGATTTTTTTTTTTTTTTTTTTTTTGAGACAGAGTCTTGCTGTGTGGCCCGGGCTGGAATGTAGTGGTTCAATCTTGACTTACTGCAACCTCTGCCTCTCAGGCTCAAGCAATCCTCCCACCTCAGCCTCCCGAGTAGCTGGGACTACAGGCATGTGTCACCACATCTGGCTAATTTTTGTGTTTTTAGCAGAGACGGGGTTTTACCATGTTGGCCAGGCTGGTCTCAAATGCCTGACCTCAAGTGATTCACTTGCCTTGGCCTCCCGAAATGCTGGGATTACAGGTGTGAGCCACTGCACCCTGCCCAAGAAATTAGTTTTTGCTTCACTGTTTTCCGTGTTCCATATACAGTACCTGAACTTTTGGGCCTCATTTTGTAAGATGTTTTTCAAAGGTTCATGTTTTCCATTGCAGCCCAGTTCCCTGAGGCATGATGAAGCAGTCAGATCCCTGCTCAGCCACTGAAAAGCTATGAAACTTCAAGGTAAATTCTTCAAATCGCAACGTATATATCCTTATCCATGCCAGGGGCACACTTTCTACTTGCCCCAAGGGATTAGGGAAGTTCCTTTCTTCTATATTCACATAACGGTTGGACTCTTGGGTGGCTGAGGAAGGGGTTAGAAGGATTGGAATCTTCTGTTTATATCCCGGAAAACAGAATTTAACTTCGGCCTACAGCCTTGTGGCACATTAAGGGCCCTACCCATACCACAGAGAGGTGGGGTGGGAAGGGGATAGTCTGAGAATCACCTTGGAGTTTTTCTTCAAGCTACCCCTTTCCCATCAGTGTCTTTTCTCCCAATCTTTAAGGGAGCCCTAAGCCTTAAATCCATCATCGAAAACCACAAGTTAAAATGAACAACAGAGGTGTCTCTGGGTCCAAGTCCCCCACCGTGAAGGACAGCATCCTGAGCAAGGCAGGAAAGATGCTTTCCAGACCAGGGGCCTTACTTGGTCAGTGGCTGCTTTGGTTCCAGCTGATGGGTCTGCACTAGAGTCCTCCAGGGGGCACCTCAGATACCATCAGGACCCCAGTGTGGGTTGGGCCTCCTGCATAGATGTGAGGCAGGGTGCTTGGCTTTCTTCCTGGTTCTATGAGCCACTACTTTACTGTATGCTTAAAAGTTCCATTGGCTGGGTGTGGTGGCTGTATTCCTAGCACTTTGGGAAGTTGAGGTGGGAGGAATGCCTGAGCCCAGGAGTTTGAGATCAGCCTGGGCAACATGTAGAGACACTATCTCTACCTTAAAAAAGAAAAAGAATTAGCCAGTTGTGGTGGCACACACCTCTAGTTCCAGCTACTTGGGAGGCTGAGAGGTAGGAGGATCACTTGAACCTGAGAGGTTGAGGCTCCAGTGAGCTGTGATCCCACCCCTGCATTCCAGCCTGGGTGATGGAGCAAGACCCTGTTTCAACAACAACAAAAAGTTCCTATCACTAAAATTACTAAAATATTTGACTAAAAAAGCTGGATTTTTGCAGAAAATTCGATTTACTCTTTGTTCTATGCATCTAATTCTAGATATCAATATTTGTATACTCTCTGTAAATATTCCGATTTGAAGAATTTTCAAATATATACGGGTTTATTTTTTAAAACATAGCAAATGTAGATTTTACATTTAGGAATATCTTTTATATTTAAAGGAAGGACTTGAGCAGTGCTGTGTTGCCTTTGTTTTCCTGGTAGCTCTATGCACCATTGCTACTGAGATTTTAATAGAGAATCCATACCCTGCAAACTGAACTAGCGATTTTTGAATGAGTAAACTGCAATTAAGGAGGTCATTTTCTTCTCATGTAAAGAAGGAAGAAACCACAAGAAAGAGAGATATATCTTTTATTTAGAGAAAGGTGTGAAAAGCAAATTTATTAACAAATTGAACACTGCTTACATCTAGAAGATAGGATTTGGAGTTGTGTTGCTTTCTCAAGCTGATTGGATCAAAGTATATTAGAAAAACAAAATAAGGGGCCAGGTGTGGTGGCTGAACAAGGGGCCTGTAATCCCAGCACTTTGGGAGGCCAAGGAGGGTGGATCATGACATCAGGAGTTCAAGATCAGCCTGGCCAAGATGGTGAAACCCCGGCTCTACTAAAAATACAAAAAATTAGCCGGGTGTGGTGGTGGGTGCCTGTAATCCCAGCTAGTTGGGAGGCTTAGGCAGAGAGTTGCTTGAATCCAGGAGGCAGAGGTTGCAGTGAGCCGAGATCATGCCACTGCACTCCAACCTGGGCGACAGAGTGAAACTCTGTCTCAAAAAAAAAAAAAAAAAAAAAAAGCAAAACAAATAAAAAACACATTCTCCAACAAATGTGAACCATGTTGGCTACATACAGCTTTGGATTTCTGTGAATCTAGGCGAGGAACAGACAGTTAAAATGTCAATGAAGCCCAGCACAGTGGCTCACGCATGTAATCCCAACACTTTGGGAGGCCAAGGGGGATCGTGGATCCCTTGAGCCCAGGAATTCGACACTAGCCTGGGTAATATGTAGAAACCCTGTCTCTACAAAAAATACAAAAATTAGCCTTGTGTGGTGGTGTGCACTTGTAGTCCCAGCTACTTGGGAGGCTGAGAAGTGGGAGGATCACTTGAGCCTGGGAAGTGGAGGCTGCAGTGAGCTGTGATCACACCACTGCACTGTAGCCTAGGTGACAGACTGAGACCTTGTCTAGAAAAAAATTTAAAAGAGAAAAAGCAAAGGAGACATTCAGTATTTGGACCTGTAGCGAAGCATGGAAAAGCATGAATAAAATACTTTTATTAGGTCCAATTTTTAACATGATCAAACAAGAATAAGAAAAATACCATAGGGTTAATTAAAATTAACCTGTAAGACCCAGTGAAGAATGAGACAGACATGTGGAAACAAGACCTAATGCCACTGAGAATAAGGAAATGCTTTGTTTCAGGGCTGGCTTACTGTGTTTCCATGGATTTGCAGCTCAAGAAGATATAGTGTGGCTTACTTTTGTGTAGTCTAGATAATATAACATAATTTCTTTTATTTTCTTCAATAACTTCCTTTCAACATTTATAATTTTCTGCATTTGAGAACTTCACTTGGGTTATAAAATTGGAATGTAACTGTTGATTTTAGTTCGATGCCTCTGTGAAATACATTCTGCTATCCACACAATATTTCTCATTTCCTGTTCCTTCAGCTTTACATATGCATAAAACACACCGTAGTGGAACTGTCTGTTGAATGCCAGCACATTCATTTGTACCTGAGGAAAGAAAAAAAGTAACACAGATCATCAACTTATTTGGAACATTATGAAATAATATTAAGCTGCCGACTGGCTTGTACATGTGCAGTGCTTATTTGTGTTTAAATAAGCAATCTCTAAATTGGGCCTAATAGAGGAGTATGGTGACAACTCAGAAAGTTCTAAATGGAGAGTGTCACTCTGCAAATAAATGTAGACAATGGAAGTTATTAAAGTAGAATTACAAGAAAAGCTCCAAATTGAAATAGGATAACTTTTACACTGTTAGTGGGAGTGTAAATTAGTTTAACCATTGTGGAACATAGTGTGGCAATTCTTCAAGGATCTAGAACCAACACCACCATTTGACCCAGCAATCCCGTTACTGGGTATATACCCAAAGGATTATAAATCATTCCATTATAAAGATACATGTGCACATGTTTATTACGGTACTGTTCCTAATAGCAAAGACTTGGAACCAACCCAAATGCCTATCAATGATAGACAGGATAAAGAAAATGTGGCACATATACACAGTGGAATACTATGCAGCCATAAAAAATGATGAGTTCATGTCTTTTGCAGGGACATGAATGAAGCTGGAAACCATCATTCTCAGCACACTAACACAGGAACAGAAAACCAAACACCACACCTTCTCACTCATAAGTGGGAGTTGAACAATGAGAACATATGAGCACAGGGAGGGGAACATCACACACTGGGGCCTGTTGGTGGCAGGGGCAGGGGGGAGCATAGAGGAGGGATAGCATTAGGAGAAATACCTAATGTAGATGATGGGTCGAGGGGTGCAGCAAACCACCATAGCACATGTATACCTATGTAACAAACCTGCACGTTGTGCACATGTATCCCAGAACTTAAAGTATAATAATTTTTTTTTTAAAAAAAGAAACATTATCTAGTATGATTAACCAAAATTTTACACTAAAATTTGTAGCATTTGTAATAATGTTCTTCAGCAAATTCCATGAGGAATGGAATGTACTTCCATTAATTCCTGCAGTTTTTAAGTAAACTCTTTTAGAAGGGGAAAAAAAAGAAAAAAGAAAAGCTCCAAACTTTAGCAGCACTGCTAGCATGAAGATTCCTAGGTGTGTGTGTAACTTTGTAGTAATGATACAGTAATACTGCCTATCAGGCTATGAATGTGCCTAATCAATTGACATGATCAGTTGTAAAAAGAAAATCCAAAGTAAGAAAATATATAAAATCCGCAGTAAAAGAAAAATAAGCTAATAGCATTTTTCACTTGTCATACCTCATGCTCGTAAAACACGTCCTCCAATGTCTTTCCCCCACTGCCACCTACAGCTTCAAATAAAGGTTTGTATACCTTAAAAACAAAAACGTTAATTTTAAATACATTTTCATTTCTTATAAATGTATGTAAGTATATTTTTCCTAGCATTATAGAAATTGTGCACATATTTAAGAAAAAAAAACTATACCAGGAGGACTGAAGGTTTTTTTTTATAGGATTTTGGTCTCCCAAAGAAACAACCAAAAATCCAAATAACAAGAGTGAGGATGAAATTCTAGCCTACTGGCTTGTTTAGGGCTACAAGGCAATTCAACTCTCAGTATACAGTGTTTGAACTCATTTTCTCACTCAGGGTCTTGGGGCTAGCTAGGTACATTATAGAAGCTCAGTGAATGCTCATGATTTGATCGGTATGGGCTCATAGGTTCTTTGAGATGAAAATTGATAAAATTCACATGCGATTTCCAGTGTGGAAGGGGTGGAATGTGGGAGAAATTCAAATTTTCATATTGTGCTAAAGAGTCTCACGCAATTACTTATGAGATGTCACAAAGTTTATGCATTTGCTGACTTTCATCTTTCCTGGAGTGCTTCAGAACCCCACAGGAAAAGATGAGTGTCATTCTAGCCCTGGAAAAGTTACCTGGAGGTTATGTAACTCTGTGCAAGTCAGAGGGAATGGAAGCTGAGCCGACGCATACAACCTTAAGCTGAGGAGTTTTAGGTGCTCCAAGAGCAACTGGATGCTGGAGTGGGGGAACGACACAAGCAGCTGTCTTTCCTCTCCTGATTTCTGGCCACTCAGCAAGGTGAGTGGAAAAACTAATACATCCATAGCCTTCCTTGCAGTCCACCTAGACGTTCTGTGCCTAACCTTGTTTCCTTAGTGGGTACCTGAAAAGGCTGCTGGATCAGACTATTTTACATAACGTTGATATGAGCTCACATTTCCAGAACACTCCACCAGCCTCCTGAGGGAACTTGCTTTATCAAACACTTCAAAAGGAGTGCTCAGATGACCATTCCCTGGAGATTTAAACAAGTACTTGCTTGGTAGGAACCTTAAAAATTAGCAGCTTGGGCTGGAAACTTAACTTGTCCCTTGCTGAAGCTTGCTTCAGCACTGCTTGCTACCTTACAAATGTTATTACTTCTTTCGAGTGTAAGTGGACATTTGATGTGTGAGCTTCTAAAGCACATGGAAATGAATTAACACAAGGGACTTAGGGAAGCCAGTGTCATCACATACTCCGTAATGATCTGCTACGTTCTTCATCTGGTCAAAGTCTTCTGCTTGAGCCAACAGCCGCAACCCCTCAGGATAGAGCTTGCCGAAGGTTGGATAGAGGGTCTCCCGGTCTTCTTTGCTCAATTCAGTACCAAAGGAGTTAAAAGTGATGATGAAAGCACGTCTGTCGGCCTCAAACTGAATGTGCAAGACAAAACCAGTAAAATCTAATAAACTGCTAAATGCTATAAACAGACTCTTAACTACACAAATTCATTTCTGAAATGATTTGCTTTCCTTTCTGGATCTATGTCTAATTATACTCCAGACATGTGTTATTAGTGTTCCCCTAGTCTTTTCTTGTAATGGAGTAACTCTGCTTGCCAGAGAAGGATCACACAGCAGCAATGATGACCTATGACTCCTGAAACCCCAGTAAGCTTTATTTCCCGGGCACCCTGCAATGAATTCCTCACGTGTCTCTGTCACATTAGGCCACCAGCGTCGCAAGTGTCTCTTCTATAAAAAGGAGAATAATACCTATTTCTTAGGGTTCATTCAGGGACAGAACCAGGTAATATAAGTGGAAGTGCTTAGAATGATATTTGGAACAAAAAGTGCATGCCATACATGTTAATATCCCTTCCTAGTTGTCAGTGTCAGCATAACTTTTTACATAATGAAATTTTGTGCTACCTACCATTTGTTTATACTTTCATGCCTTTGGTTTTCTTTGTTAGTGTCCTAGGTGAGGTATCAATAAATCTAAGACTAGCTAAGAACTATGTGGGGTGGGACAAGTCATGTTTCTCTCAAGAAGTTTTCTTCTTTGTAAGATGCTGGAGTGTGGCTAACGATCTTCAAGATAGGTCAACACATACTCACAGCCTGTCTTCTCTGTGCTGAACACCACTAGGCACCTGGGCTCCCATCCCTCCATCATTACTATTTCATCTGACCCCTCAAGTCTTTCTTGAAATTTCATTTATATTCCTTTGAACTCCATGTTTCTACTGTCTCTTGGTTCTCCTCCTATCGACTCTGGCCATTCCATCTCAGTCTCTTCTTCAGGGACTCCTCCTCTACCTACTGTGGGGGCTTGCCATGGTTTCCTTGGGCTAAGCAGCAATTCTCTAGGTACTCCAAATGTCCATTACTTACCACTTCATTTTGAAATCTGTGCCTGTGTTTCTCCCCACTTCATTGTTCTTTTTTTTTTTCTTTTGAGATTGGGTCTCACTCTCTCATCCAGGCTGGAGTGCAGTGGTAGGTCAGGAGTCACTGCAACCTCAACCTCCCAGGGCTCAGGTGATCCTCCCACTTCAGCCTCCCAAGTGGCAGGGACTACAGGCACGTGACACCATGCCTGGCTAATTTTTCTTGTAGAGATGGGATTTTGCCATAATGCCCAGGCTGGTCATGAACTCCTAGGCTCAAGAAATCCTCCCTCCTGGGCCTTCTAAGTGTTAGGATTACAGGCATGAGCCACCATGCCCAGCCTTTTGTTCCGTTTTTAATAGCCAGTGCCTGACACATAAGAAAGTCTTAAGTACTTACTGAATCCAACAGAGTGATGTGTGATCCCCTAATACTTTGAAAATTCTCCAACATTCTCCATAATGTTGCTATTCAAAGCAATATTTTGTGGCTCAGTAGCTTTGACGTCACCTGGAAGCTTGTTAGAAGTGCAGAGTCTCAGGCCACAGTCCAGCCCTACTCAACCAGAATCTGCATTTTCATAGGATTCCCAGGCTATCTGTATGCACATGAAAGCTGAAAAGAATTGCTGTGCTATCCTCTAATCAGCTTTTGACTGGTTAACCGATAACAAAACCCAACTTGCAACAGATTTCACCGGAACTGTTATGTAAGAACAGGTGTTTTCTATCAGGAGAGTGAGAGTTAGTTCCATCTGATCCTTTTGATTGCTCTCATGGAGATTATGGGTGAGCTGAAAAGTAGGGAGTGGCTTTATTTGGAAGCAAAGGCAGCTGTCTCTGGCTACTGAATATAACCAGTCCTGTCAGTAATTTTAGACCTTCTAGGGATAAGAGAAGAAATGCAAGAGGAAGATTTCATGGCAATAAGAAAACTTCAGACAAAAATTAGGGCAGCAAGAGCAACAATGGAGGTAATTGTCCCAGATGTTCTTTAATGTGCTCTCTGATTCTAAAATGTTACGATCTTATAAGAGAATTAGGGCAAGGTAGGCAGCATTGCAGACATGCAAACAGCAGAGGCCAGGTTGGAGGAGGGAGCTGCAGGAAGTAAAACAGGATGTTTTGGAGGAATTGTCATCGCTCAGTCATTGGAAAAGCAATTGGAGAAGTGGGAAGGACAGATAGCTGGGGAGAGAATATGAATACAAGAAGAAAGGGCTTTGGCTGATACAGGTTATCAGAGCCCTCCATCTTCTCACTACCTTCTTGTCCTTGTTACCACTTCTTTCCTTAGCCTACCACACATGTGCTCTCTTCCATAACTCTGCATGCCGAAATCCTCCCTGCATTCGCGTCCCATCAATTGTCATCTTTTTCATAAGAAGTCCTTCCATTTCTTCTCTAATTGGATATGATTCCCTTTGAACCCTGATTACATTCCATTTTCCTTTTATCATAACTGACTATATATCTACCTTACTTTTCTAGTCTAGAGGCTCTTTTGGGTACGTGTGTGTATTATCCTCTTAGGGAAAAAACCCCTCATTTTAGAATTGGAAAAGGACTGTTCTTTGACCATCCCCAAGCAGAGTTTGACACGCATTTGATTAGAGGAGACCGAATGGTCTGGTGTTAGTGTGACTTAGCTCCTGTTTCTTGCAGAGAGTTGGCATGCTGTGTGGTATGGTGTATGTTGGCAGTCCTGTACCTTTCCTTTTACTCTTCCCTATAAAAACATACTCATGTTAAAACTAGACCTTATTTTTTGTTGTTATTGCAAGAGATAGCAATATACTGTTGGGAAGAAGGGCACACCTGGCAGGAGGCAGTAGGCAGAGGTGTCAGTGGCAATGGAAAAGAGTAAAGTGAACTGGAATGGAGCCCAGCCTTATCAGCGCATACACTGACCAGTAGAGATCAAACAAACATATTTTATGCTTGTTTTTCACTTCCCTATTAACCATAAGATTGAAGAGTAGGAGTAAAAGGCAAATATTATACTACAGTGCATTTGCCTTGAACATAAGTCAATTTCTTTTTTTTTCATATGAAGTTATAATCTTGTAATTAGGTCAGATTTTCACATGTAAGCTGAGGTTAATGGTCTCTTCTACCATATTAAGTCTCCGGCCAAATGAGACTAAATGAGAATACACATGGAATTTATAAATAGTAAGTGCTCTATAGTTACAAAAATAAAAGGGAGGTAATTACACGATCGAAAGTATTTATGTAAACTGACAAACACCCTTTGATCATATAATTATAAATGTTTTAACTCCATGCCCTATGTAGCTGATATTTCTATATAAATAAAAATGGTTCAACGGATTTTTATTTTTATTTTTATTTTTTAGAGACAGGATCTCACTCTGTCGCCCAGCCTGGAGTGAGGTGGTTTATGGCTCACTGTAACCTGGAACTTCTGGGCTGAGGTGATCTTCCCACCTCAGCCTCCTGAGTAGCTAGGACTATAGGTATGTTCCACCAGGCCTGGTTAATTTCTGTATTTTTGTAGAGGTGGGGTTTTGCTATGTTGTCCAGGCTGGTCTCAAACTCCTGGCTTCAAGCAATTCTTCTGCATAGGTCCCCCAAGGTGCTGGGATTGCAGGCATAAACTACCATGCCTAGCTGCATTCTTTTTTAACGCTGTTTGAAACAAACAAACAACGAATCTAATCTGATACCAGGAAGATTGGAAAAGTACAATGAGAACACTGGGCATATCATAATTTGATCATATCATCCCAGTGATAAGCATTTTTCTGATACTATTTTTTTTTACATTACCGAGGATTACAAAGACATAATTCTTACCTATTTCTTACCTATTCAAAGACATAATTCTTACCTTACCTATTTACCGATTTTTATAGTACACAGTATGAGCTTGCTTATGAATTAGCATTTATGTTTATATAAAAGAATTGTGAATGGTGAATTTAATGCAGAGGCACTATGGCACAGTGGATAAGCACATAAGTACCGGAGCCAACTGCCTGCATTCCAATCCTGACTTACTAGCTGTGAGACATAAGGTAAGTTACTAGCCTTCTCTGTGCCTCAGTTGCTCCTTCTGAAAAACAGACACTAGACTACCTATTCTGTGTGGTTTTGAAGTCTAAGTGAATTCATGTATATAAAGCACTCAGCAATAGTGCTATTGTATACCTTTGATAAGGTTATGAGTCTTCATATAACTTTTATTTCACAGGTAGAAAGTACACAAACCATTTTTAAACCACAAGAATTATGCTGAGTAGAAATTCTACTTTTGAGCCATAGATAATACGGATTCTTATAGTGTGGCTAGTAGCTGAATTTATGAAAAGAAAGGGCAAGGCTTCATAGGGTCACTAGTTACTCACGTTGCATGATTAGCATGACTGAGAGAGACTATTTTTCATTCTGTCATTTACTATGCCTTAAAAATGTTATTTATTTATTCGATATCTACTTTCTGTACAATATAGATAAGGACAAAAATATTTTTTGGAGATCTTTAATGATAAGATTTTCACTTCATAACTATTTAGGCTTTATTTTAAGAATTTCAGGTTGGGACAACATAAATACATAAATAGACCTCATCTTTTTTTCTTTCTTTCTTTCTTTCTTTCTTTCTTTCTTTCTTTTTCTTTCTTTCTTCCTTTCTCTTTTTCCTTCTTCCTTTCTTCCTTCCTTCCTTCCTTCCCCTTTCTTCTCTTTCTTTCTTTCTTTCTTCTTTCTTCGTTTCTTTCTTTCTTTCTTTCTTCTCTCTCTTTCTTTCTTTCTTTCCTTCTTCTTCCTTCTTCCTCTCTCTTCTTTCCCTCTTCTTCTTTCCCTCTTCTTTCTTCCTCTTTCTTTCTTTTTTTTTTTTTTCTTCTGATGGAGTCTCACTCCATCGCCCAGGCTGGAGTGCAGTGGCGTAATCTCGGCTCACTGCAACCTCCACCTCCCAGGTTCAACCTTCATGCCTCCTGTGCCTCAGTCTCCCAAGAATCTGGGATTACATACGTGCACCACCACATCCGGCTAATTTTTTTTTGTTTTGTTATTAGAGACAGGGTTTCACCATGTTGGTCAGGCTGGTCTCAAACTCCCAACCTCAGGTGCTACACCATCTTGGCCACCCAGAGTGCTGGGATTATAGGTATGAGACACCATGCCCAGCCAAGACCTGGTCTTTTCAAAAAAATAAAAAACTTAGCTGGGCATGGTGGCATGGGCATGTGGTCCCAGTTACTCAGGAGGCTGAGGTGGGAGGATCATTTGAGCCCAAGAGGTCGAGGCTGCAGTGAGGCATGATCATGCCACTGCACTCCTCCAGTCTGGGCAACAGAGTGAGGCCACATCTCAAAAACAACACACAAAATCTCAATAACGAATAGCAAAATATTTCAACTATAAAACTTTTTGTTTCTTTTTTCTGTATCACCAGTCATTAAGCAAGTAAAATTTTAATGATTAGATGTTTTGAGGGGAGCTAATTTTATCATATGTGGTTTCAGAGCATTAGGTTGAAATATTTGCAAATGAAGTTAATTTTTTTCTTTTTACCTAGAGGGTAATGCTTATTAGGCTTTTCTTGAAATCAGAATTCCACCCACCAGGGAAGTCACTGTACCAGATAATGTAATGATGAAAAATATTCTTTAGATAAAATGTAGTTTCACAGGGCAAAGTAAGGGCTTATAAAAGCCCAAAGTGATTTTTGTTTTCTTTTTAAGTGAATTAGGAAATTATTTACAAGCAAGAGGAATAGATGTAAAATACTCAGTGCAAAGTATGTGCAGGATGCCCCACAATTCCTTCTGATCTCTGGCCTGACTCTCCCATGCATTTGCGGGCCAATATTCTTACGCAAGAGGACTCCTCAGCATAGATGAAATCTGTAGCCCTTCAGAGGAATTGACAAGAGTATCACGTCACCCAGAGAGGTAGATACCAATGGTGGCGTTTGACACGTAATGAAATGAGCTTACCCACTGTGAATCACATAGCCAAGGGGTCTTCCTGCCAAAAGCTGGAACGCTCATGGGATGCTTGGGGCAGCCTTTATTTTAGGATTTATGAGGTACAATGTCCCTGTGGATGAAGTTATAGTGGACTTTTGGTGCCAAGCTGTGGGGGTTCCCAGCTGTCCAATGTTCCCTCACCAGAGGGGATCTGGGTCATGATTGAGTGTCTACAGTCCATTCATGACTCATAGTGTCAGGCATTTGAACCAGAGCAACTCCATCTTGAATAGGAGCTGGGTAGAATAAGGCTGAGACCTACTGGGCTGCATTCCTAGATGGTTATGCGTTCTAAGTCACACGACGGGATAGCAGGTCGGCAAAAGATATAGGTCATAAGCACTTTGCCGATAAAACAGGTTGCAGTAAAGAAGCCTGCTAAAACCTACAAAACCAAGAGTGACCATGGTCCTCCTCACTGCTACACTCCCACCAGCACCATGACAGTTTACAAATGCCATGACAATGTCAGGAAGTTACCCTATATGGGCTAAAAAGGGTAGACATGAGTAATCCACCCCTTGTTCAACATATAAACAAGAAATAACCATAAACATGAGTAACCAGCAGCCCTCAGGGCTGCTCTGCCTACGAAGTAGCCATGCTTTTACTCCTTTACTTTCTTAATAAACTTACTTTCACTTTATGGACCCAAATTCTTTCTTGCTGAGATTCAAGAACCCTCTGTTGGGGTCTGGAGTGGGACTCTTTTCCAGTAACAGCAGTATACTAAATTTTTATTGTTTATAATCTATTTTTTACATGCTACATCAAAATGAATCATAGCCAAATCTGTGTAAGCATTATTATTTTCTAATTCCAAGATAACTTTTCCATGTAGAAAACTTCCAGGCTCCAACTTAAGAGTTGGAAAATACAACTCTTAACAAAATACATCAAATAATATACATAGTAAAATGTCCTGCTTGTCTTATTTCTAGATAAAAAAAAAAACTTCAAAGATAAGGAAATCTAAGTAAGGTTAAAACAATAAAAAATATGGAAGCACCTTATGTAGCATAACAAAATTCAAGGACTCTTTCTTACCTCGAGAATGGGACACATAACGTCTGCTGTGACATCACCATGATTCTTACAGAATTTATAGAATGCCTCAAGGTAAGACTTAAAAAGAAAAAAGATCATAAAGTGATATAATGAATATATATTCCTTTTGAAAATTTCTAGATCAGCTTTTCATGGTTTATTAAATGCTTTAATGGAAATTGAATTACATCTCCCATAGGGAGATATTTTATAATAAACTTGGTAGAAGCTTTCATATTGCAGCATGTTGCACAGACTAAAAAGGAAATCCAGAAAAGGACAAAACTGCATTTATCATAACTTATAATTACTTAACAAGCACTTTTTTTGCATGGTTTTGGATTATTTCATATGGTTAATTCTTGCTATTTTAACAAGAGTGCCAAGTTCTTTTCTGAGATCAGTGAATAATTTTAGATTCAGCCCTATGCTGACATTTAATCTCTTATAGAGGCACATTTGGGACAGCTTTGAGCTTGGAGCTATATGGGAAAGGTTGTAGGGTCAGACTGCTGGAGTTTGGATCCCAACTTTAATACGTTTTAGCTAACTGACTTCTTCCAAAGAAACCTTGGCTCTCCAAGCCTCAGTTTTCTCCTCTGAGGAATGGAGATAGCATAAACATCATATTTTTGCCAGGTGGATTAAGTGAGTTAAGGCCTATAAATTACTTAGAACAGTGCCTTCTGCTAGTTATATCTCAAAGATGCCTCCTCTAGGCCCATAAGTCACTTTACCAAAAGGAACACTGCCTGCAATACGCTTTTGAAAGGACCACATGTTTGAACACAGCATGCCATATATATGGCATGGCAGTATATATTCAGTTACTCTGTGTGAGTGTCCAAAGAGGCTATGGTTATTTGAGTAAAAATGGACAGATTTTGCTCAGTCTATAGTATATACAGCTACTCAAATGGTGGCAGCACAGTCCAGACAGACAATCAGATTATGCAAAGTGGTACCTATGATGCAGTGTACACAAATTGTTCATTCTGGTATGCTGCACACTATAGATTAAAATTGTGGGGGCAGATTAGCTGTGAGATTCAGGGATACTAACAAGATTGAGGTCAGAGATGAACACTGCATAACAGGTTTACTATGTGTGCTGGTTGCTTTAAATGGATTGATATTGTTCATCCCACTTATTCACCTACCACCATCCAAACACCTTTTATGTTCCAGATACCATGCAAGGAGCTGGGAATATGGAAGAATAGGGCATGTTATTTCCTCTCAAATATCTTGCTGGCTAGGGGAAGCTGACATGCGTGCATTTAACTAGAGAATAGGCCAGAACTATAAAAGTTATATTCCAAATATGCACAGTTTCATAACTGCAGAAGTTGGTTAATGAGCAACGTAACTTTTATTAGAGAACACTAGTCACAATATATTGTGTAATCAAGAAAAACGCAATATTTGGGAAAACCATTACCTTGTATAGTTTATTGCGCAGCAATTCAATATTCAGTTCATCTAGAGCATTTTCAGACATGCAGTCTTGGAAGAACGGAGCTGAAAGCAGAAATTGCCATACCAAAAAATGAATCTTAAGCAAGATTATAAACTGTAGAAAATGTATCCTGAACACACCACCCTCTGCTCACTCCTGACAAGAACACTGCAGAGTTGCAATCCATACACTCAACTAAATAAGGCTAATAGTAATGAGGATGAAAGCAGTTATTACTTTTTAAGCATTTATCATGTGTAAGCCCTAAACCAGGGGGCCCCAACCCGCAGGCCACAAACCAACACCGGTCCGTGGCCTGTTAGGAATTGAGCCACACAGCTGAGGTGAATAGTGGGCCAGAGAATGGCTTCAACTGTAATTATAATTATATAACCATTCCCCATTGCTTGCATTACCACCTGAGCTCCGCCTCCTGTTGGATCAGTGGCAGCATTAGATTCTTATAGGATAGCAAACCCTATTGTGAACTGTGCATGTGAGAGATCTAGGTTGCACGCTACTTACAAGAGTCTAGTGCCTGATGATCTGTCACTGTCTCCCATCACCCACAGATGGGACTGTCTAATGGCAGGAAAATAAGCTCAGGGCTCCCACTGGTTTTACATTATGGTGAGTTGTATCATTATTTCCTTAGCTATTACAATGTAGTAATTATACAAATAATGTGCACAATAAATGTAATGTGTTTGAATCATCCTGAAACCATCCCCTCTCTCCCATGTTGGAAAAGTTGTCTTCCACGAAACCAGACCCTGGTGGCCAAAAGCTTGAGGACTACTAAACCTCACTCACTACACTACACACTGAATATACTTTCACTTAATCTTCACAACACCTTGGAGCTATTCACTTAAGGCTTTTTTGGAAGTCCCCCCTCCTCTACTATCTAATGATAATATTTATTATTTGCAACTTTAGTATGTGCCAAGCATGGAGTTGTACTTAAATTGTGTTTTATTTTTAAAACTCTGTTATAAAAAGACATGATTATTTCCAAAATGAGGAAACTGGGATGAATTGAATTGCTCCTAGTCACCTTGTTGGGACCGGGCAGAGCCTGGCTTCATGCTCATGGCTGTCTGATTGCGGTCTCAACCTCTCTCGACTAGCCTATGGTATCTCAGCATCAGGTGCTTAATGATGACACAAATATTTTTTTTTTCCTTTTTAAAATACCTATTTTAAACAGCAACTATTTTGACAAATGATCAATAGTGAATTGCTACTATCCAGATTTCCTGACAATATTAGATAATGATGCTTATACAATTATCTCTTTAGCATTTTGAATACTACAACTCTTGTTAGTGCCAAATTATAATGAAATTAACAATCATTTCATCATTGCTTCTGATGACTTGACATCTCAGTCATGCTCTTGAGCATCTCAGAAAAATGACATTTTTAAACTTCCCGAAACAAAATGCTTCCTATATGCAACCGTATCTAGACAGAAGTTTAAATGGAAGGACAAGAAACTAATCCTATAAAACCAAGCTAGAAAATTACCTTTTTTGGAAGAATGACAAGTTCTATTATTTATTTGCTATGACCTGGTATAAAGTGAAGGGTTTGAAGGTTGAGAGATGAGCCCCAATTCCTTCTCTACTACAAATGGTTCACATGTGGTCTGAGCAGGTTGCTTCATTTGTCCTCATCTGAAAAATGAGGGAGCTGAACTAGATGATTCCTTAATGTCTCTGCCACTTCTGGGAATCTGCATAGTATGCTACTGTATACGTGGGAAAAAAATTGTGAAATCAAAGTACATTTTCTTTTGGACCACAGGGAAGAAAAAATAGTACATTTTCTAATGACTGTGATAACATACACAAGCAGCTACCAAATTATCTAAGTGTTCCTACCTAATGGCGTTTCGATCAGAATGGCATTAAAGAGATCTGAAGGTGTCTCTGCAATGTTGACAGCTTCCATTTCTGTGAAACGGCCCAAGGGGTGGCACTTCCCCAGAATTTCTTTCACAGATTTTTTCTGCAATGCACCATTCATCAGCAGAATCACATTGTCTATCATGTAACTGCACCTGGTTTAGAAGACAACTCAATCATTAGAGGACAACTGCAAAAGGATAAGAAGAATCCTACAAGTAAAAAATACACACCTTTGAGGTACACACTGTTTCATTCAGAAACTACATGAGTCTCTTTTTATTTTAAACACTGGAGTTTACGAGACGTGGAGAAAAATATATGACCTCTGAGACTGTCATAAATTGAAAAGGCATATTCAATACTCTTTTTTTTTTTTTTTTTTTTTTTTTGAGACAGAGTCTCTCTCTGTCACCCTGACTAGAATGCAGTGGCCCAATCTTGGCTTACTGCAACCTCCGCCTCCCGGGTTCAAGTGATTCTCCTGCCTCAACTTCCCAAGTAGCTGGGATTACAAGCTCTCACCACCATGCCCAGCTAATTTTTGTATTTTTAGTAGGTACAGGGTTTCAGCATGTTGGCCAAGCTGGTCTCAAACTCCTGACATCAGGTGATCTGCCCACCTTGGCCTCCCAAAATTCTGGAATTATAGGCGTGAGTCACTGTGCCTACACCTGGCCATGAAAAGGCATATTCAATATTCTAACAACTAACTAAATAAAACCTTGGCTGGTGGGAATATGCGGCAGAAGCCCCTCCATAGTCACTGTCAAATGCGATGGGGCAGGGGTAAGGATGTGAACTTGTTTGGTTTATCAGAATGGACAAAGGGCTTGAAAAGTTGAAAAACACAGACCTGAAGCATCTTACTCTACTTTAAAAAGTGACTACTATATTTGAATCTGTAATGAAGCCTATCACTGAGGATTCAAAATTTAATGCTAAAAAATACTGTGTAATTCTGTCCTCATATGAGATCACATTGTGAATTTTCTAGGCCACCTTCCCCACATACCCAAGAGTTTATTAATTCATATTAATTCATATTTTAATCCTTTTAATGTGATTTCTTTATTTGATATAAGCTCTGCTCAGGATATCCTGGGTGCATGTCCTGGTTCACTCATGTACTCAGCACCTAGGATATTCCAAGCAATGAGGTTGAGAAGTAAATGAGACCTGGGGCATTCCTTTACAGAGAATACAGCTTAAGTGAGGAACTGGACACAGAATCATTTACAATAAATCACAATAGGGCATACATGCTATGCAAAATAAATTATAGGGTGGTGTGGAGAATCATAGCTGGACACTAAACCAGTCCTGGAATTAGACTTGCTAGATAAATGACAGTCAAGTAGAAACTTGAAGAATTAGTATGAGCCGGCCAGCCTAAAGGGGCTGGGAACTGGGGGAAAGCACGTTTCAAGGCGGAAGGAAGAACGTTTGAAAAGCCCCAGAGATGAGAACACAAGGACACTCAGGGAGTTTCCTTTGCCTGGGCCGAGCAACGGAGGTTACTGACTGCCCTTACACTGAAGGGAACATTATGACCTATGTAAATATTAAAACAGGAGAAGAGGTAAACAAACATCTATACAGTAAGGGCAGTCAGTATCCTCCGTTGCCCTTAACATCCAAGTTCCTCATCTTGTCTTTCAGTACCCACATGCTCAGCCCCAGCCCCAGCTCCAGTGCTCGGCCCAGGCAAAGGAAACTCCAAGTGTCCTTGCGTTCTCATCTCTGGGGCTTTGCAAACGTCCTTCCTTCTGCCTTGAAACGTGCTTTTCCCCAGTTCCCAGCCCCTTTCCAGAGTCCGGCTGCATGGGGGACAGACTTCCTGGGCAGGGAATTCATTTCTGGCTGGAAAAGGGGGTCTCCTTCATTGTGGAGCTTCTACAGCTTACCCCAAAAAATTCTAACTAAAGAAGTTTTTGAAGCAGGCAATTATCCCTTTATAAAAAGCACATGACTATAAAGTTTCTTCACCTCCTGAACAGCAGTACCAAATTTAGACACTATGGAATTTTAGAATCCTTTTTATCTCTTCAAAATGATATTAAAATGGAAGTGCTTATTTAACTGTCCCTTTATGGCTCAAAAGCAATTACCTGAGAGGGCAATTGCTAGCACTTAATAACCCTTAGCAGACTCTAGACATTTAATTGTTCCCCACAACCCCCCTGCAATGTAAAAGCATCTGAGCTGTGAACATTCCCAATTAGCAGAGGACTATTAGAGCAACGTTGACGGGCGACCAACGTCAATGGTGTGAGTAGGATGCAGCCTGCGTATAACACCCAGACGTGCCTCTACAATGTGTGCATGCGTGTGTATTAAGTATTTTTATTTTTACTTTTTTACTAATAGACAGGCTAAGCCCTATATGGCAATGAGCAAGAGCTTTATAGATTGAGTTCAATTTTATTTCAACTCTTGCTGAGTGGCCTTGTTTCTAAAATGGAACAATAACACCAGTTCTTGCAGTGTTGCTCAGAAACACTGAGAACCCAGGGCTTGGCCTACGATGAGGGGCAGGGGTGCCTCTTTCCTGTCCCCTTTCTCATCTCCATCACACATAGGTACCAGGTATATAATTATCATTGGCTGTTGGGGTGACAGGGACATAGTGTAACCAGAAGACAGTTTACTTTCTCCAGACTATAATCTTTGTAGATCTCCAGGGAGTCATGCAGGCAATGGTTGCGAAGCAAATAATTGCTGACATTACCTGAGTAGTTTTTGAACAAAAAGACACCAGGGTGTTTACCTAATTCAAACCCTGTTTTAGATAGTTATCCTCATAAGTAGTGACAGAGCCACCCATTCAGTTAGGTTAATTTTTCTCCTACTCACGGTCTAGACAAATGTCCTTTGACACCTGTAAAAATCATAGTCACCTAAAACTGTGATGAGCAAATTACTCAATTTCAAAAATTGTAGAATATTAAACATTTTTTAAATGCTGATTCTTTTTGAGGTTTTTACTATGTGGCAGTAATTATGTGCACACTCTCACTCAAGCTTCACAACAACTCAATGCTGTAAGAACCATTATTAAGGAAAACCGAGTCTTAGCAGTACTAAATACCTTGCCGAAGATCACAGTGCTGGCAAGCAGCAGAGTTGGGTCCCTAAAATCAAAGTGCTGGCTCTCCCTAGAAGGTTCAGATAAAAGAGCTCAAGCCAGATGATATTTTAACATTTCCATTTGATCTTAGAGCTATTCTTTCTCCTCCTGCTCCCTAGCTTATTTAAGGATCTCAAAGATAACTATAATATATTTTCTGTATGATAACTACCACATTCTGGTGCTATAACAGTTGCTAAGAGGTCAAATAATATAGAACCATAATTTGGTAAGTTAGAGGAATTGCTCTTCTCTGAATAAAAATTTTAGTACTTCAGTGTCATTAGCAATAGCTGAGAAATGACTGTCATTCACAAAGCACTCTGGCATGAGATAGAAAAAGAGAAACGCCTTCTAAGAAAAACACAGTTCAGTGAAGAAGCTCTCCAGGGTATTACCTCTTCATTGTCACACCCACCCTTTCCCACCCACCACCCCCAATGCCTAGAAAATGCGAATCAGTTCTCCCACTCTATAATTTTGCCATTTTCTGAATAATATATAACTGGCAGCAGATAATAAATGACATTTTGAGACTGGCTATTTTAGCCCTGCTCGGTGTTCTTGAGATACATGTAATACATTCAAGCTGTTGCATGTAAACAGTTTGTTCCTTTTTATTGGTGAGTAGTATTCCATGGTATTGATATACCACAGTGTATTTAACCATTCACCTATCGATGGACATTTGTGTTTTTTTCTAGTTTTTGGCTATTACAAATAAAAACTGTTAAGAACATCTCTGTGCTGATTTTTATATTAAAATACGTTTTTATTATTCTTGGATAAATGCCCTGAAGTGCAGTTGCTAAATGGCATAGTAAGAGTATGTTTAGTTTTTTAAGAAACTGCAAGACTATTTTTTAGAGTAGCTGTCCCAATTTTAGCGCAGTATTAAAAACTTTACTTCTTTTTAAGTGTCTTTTCTTTCCCTGTTTATAACTGTTATAAATATTTCCTCTATATACATCGAGAACCACATCAGACAGTGTAATGATTTTGCTTCAACTGTCAAATACAATTTAGAAAACTCAGGAGGAGAAAGAGTGTATTGTATTTACCCATATTTTTCTCCTTTCTGTTGTTCTTTCTTTTTTCCTGTTGTTTCAAAATTACTCTTTTTATCATTCCCTTTGTGTTTCAAATGCTTTGTTTAGCCATTCTTTTAGTGTAGGTCTGCTGGTGACAAAATCTCTTAGTTTTCCTTCATCTTAGAATGTCTTGATTTTCCCTTCATTCCTGAAGAATATTTTCACTGAATACAAAATGCTAATTTTTTTCTTTTCTTTAGTGCTTGAAAAATACTACACTGCTTGCTTCTGGCTCCGTGGTGCCTAAGGAGAAATCTATGGTTCAAATTGCTTCTCTCTTATTGGTAAGGAGTAATTTCCCATAGCTTTCAAGATTTGTTTTATCTTTTTTTCTTTCAAAAGCTTGATTATGACATGTCTTGGCCTGGATTTCACTGGATTTTTCCTGTTTGGACTTTCACTTAGGTTCTTGAATCAGTGGGTGTGTGTCTTTTGCCAAATGGGGGGAATTTTCAGCCATTATTTCTTTGAATACTTTTTCAACCTTTCTTTTTTTCTCCTCTCATTCTGGGATTTATTACTACTCTGCACGTGGCCTCTATTGACACCAAGGCTAAAAGAGGGCTTATTACTGCTGGGAGGTGGTCAAAGGCCCAGCTTCCCACTTGGCCCTCTCTGTCCCCATTTACAGCCAGGTGAGGGTAGACATCTGGGCCCCCACTAGGCCTTTGCTTAAAGGGGTGGAGTTGCAGTTTTTCCCATGGCACTTGGTTAGAGTCATTATTATCTAAAGATATTCTTGTTGTGGCCAGGTGTGGTGGCTCACGCCTATAATCCCAGCACTTTGGTAGGCCAAGACAGGTAGATCACAAGGTCAGGAGTTCGAGACCAGCCTGGCCAATATGGTAAAACCCCGTCTCTACTAAAAATACAAAAATTAGCTGGGCACGGTGGCGGGCGCCTGTAGTCCTAGCTACTCAGGAGGCCGAGGCAG